CAGACAGTGAGAGGGAAAAGCACAGGAGCCCCCTGGGCCTTCTGGGGAGAGGTGGCCAGCGTGTTCTTTAAAGGTGGGGACAGGTGGTCCAGCAGCCGCCAGAAACCGAAGCAGGGCACTCGAGGGCCAGGGGGGAAGGTGGCTGAGTCTGCACCCGCCACTGCCACTTTCTCCCCTGTCTGAGCAAACATCTCTGCAAATAAATCTCCTCTTTCTGCCTTTTTCTCTCTCTGCTGGGTGACTGCTTCAGTTTCATTAAAGACGCTTGGAAACATTCTTTGGGCTCGACCAAGATATATAATACGGAGAACAGAGATTTGCTTCATAACCCACAAACTATTAAAAATATTAGTGTCCCCCAGAGAGTCTCTCTTAAAGATTCCTTCTCCTTCTCTGCCTCCCTCTCCCCCTGCTCATGGTGCCAACAATAATGCCGGCAGGCTGGTCTGGGCCATTTCCTTGAAAGAAAATAAAGAAGAGATAACAGGCCTCAGAGAAACCTCTCTTTGTCCCTGAATAAAATCAGTCATCCTATATGTCTAGCTAGAGCTTTGTACTCGGCAAAGCTCCCTTTCACCGCTGTTATCTTGTCTGATCCTCAAAGATGTGCAAAGCAGGGTCATGTCCCTTTTGTTAGGAGGGGAAACCGAGGCCCTAGAGAAGGGAGGTTGGCTTTGAGGCAAAGCTGGGACTAGAACCTAGTTCCTTCTGACTCCCAGCTGAGGATTTTTGCATACAAGCGAAATTAGAAAGTTGTTTCATGTTAAGAGTGAATACCTGGAGTATAGGCAACCCCTGGGCTCCCTCTGTCCTGACCATCTTGCCAAGGGTCTATACTTAATGTCATTACAGGCACTTTGTTTTTCACGTTCATCAAAGGTGAATACACAAGAGGCACTCAAGGAGTCCTCTGGGCCGGGGGTGAATGAGAGTGGCACTGTGGCTTTCAGGGGGTCCCATTTAGGAGGGACTACCCTGGGACAGGTCAGGGAACCCCAGAAAGAACCATTAGAATGTCGAGAGCAAAGCAGAGGCAGGAAGGGGCTCAGGAGGGCTACTTGGCTAAGGATTTTGAGGATAGAGAGAAATTAGTCAGGTAGAGAGGCATAGAAGAGGCTGCAGGTGGAAGACAGAAACAAGTTCAAGGCCCAGAGGCCAGAAAGGGCCTGATGTTTTGGAAGGTCTGTAAAGAGGCCCAGCACTGCCAAGGCGTCACCCAGGGTGAGTAGTATGATACAGGGACCAGAAGCCCTGACGCTGTGACACAGCGGACTTTTTCCTGAGAACAGTGGGGTGCGGCAAGGATGGTTGGTTCCTGGTGCTGTGCCTTTAAGTGCTCTGAGTGCCATGTGTGAATTGATTCTCAGAATGCATCTGTGTTTGTGTTCTGATTTGGATCTTAGAATTAAAGAGAATGAAGTGAGGTGACAAGGATGAGAAGAGAAGAGCAGAGAGGTGGCCTGAGCAGGGGAGGGGGACAGAGACAAGTGACAGATTAAAGCTGGGAGATAGGCTTGGGGATCTTACAGGGGTGGTGACCGAGAGGGAGGAGTCCAGGTTGACCCCCAGACCACGGCATCTGCTCCCACAGGTGGATTAGATTACAGTGAGGAGACTGGCACCGAGGAGTGAGATTCCAGCAGCCCCGGCTGGCCAGTGCGGGAGCTGGGCTTCTCTGCAGGCCCTACGGCTACAGCCCTGAGCTGCTGAGCTCCCCGATGGCCTGCCCATGCCAAGCCCCTCTGCCAGGACAGGGGAGCGAGTAAAGCCTCTCTTTGCGGGCAGCTTCAAGAGCTGAAAAGCCCTTGAAAGTGTTTCAAAAGCCAAGGCCAGGTCAGTCCTGCTGTCCCAGCGTAAGGCACAAGGCAGACAAAGGACTCTCCCAGCCTCAGTTTCCTGTCCTACCCACAGGCTCAAAGTGGGCACCAGAGAAGAGTGTCACCCTCCAGTCACAATTCCCACTGTCACTGTGATGGCATCCATAGTGTTGCCAACAGAGACACACAGTAGACACATAGCACATTGGCCACCCGGTCTATGCAAGGGATCCATGGGGAAGGGGGGGGGGCTTAGGCCTACCTCTGCCACCTGCTTACTGTGAGACCACTTAGGCTTCCCCTGTCATGTGAAAGTCTCAAAACCCCTGATCTTTTAAGGCCCCACTTTCTCATTGTGGGTGCTTGATACTGAGGCTCACTTTGTGGTTGGATTAAATCCAGTCCACACAGACTAGGAAAGGCTAGGCAGCTCCTGGAAGAGCCCCTCTGGGATCCCAAATTCTGGCAAGGAATCACTTAGAAAGAGGCCATGACCAAGGAGCTTTGTACCTCTGGGCTCTACACACTCAGACCACGAAAGAGGACCACGTGCTGATGCTTGCTCATTACTAGTTGCACTGCAAACAGCAGGCCACATGTCGCTTAAAGACTGCAGCAGCTGCTGACTGCACCGTCCACTCACACTGACCCCCAACATGGTTAAAGAGGGGCTGAGAAGACAAGAGGGCCAATGACTTGGTTGTCCTTTTGAAAGATCGTCACCCCCTCATGCTGTGGGGTCCATATTACAGACTAAGAGGAATACCACCACCACCACCACCCCCGGCCTCCAAGTGGAGGCAGGGCCCTCAGGGATTCATTGGGTGATTTTGAGTTTAGAGGCCTGTTTGTGAGGAAGGAAGGTAGCTTGGAAGATTTTAGAATCCCAGGGACCAGCCATTGAAGGGGACCGTGCTGCCCCATCAGGGTGAGGACACAGAGCGTGGAGCCGAACCTTGGAGCCCTAGAGAAGGAGGGCTTATCTACCATTTAGATAGCGCCTACTGTGTGTGGCCCTGTGCTGTGCTGTGAACACCCATTGGCTTGCTAATACCTCAGGGGAGACAGTGAGGACGGGTGTTTTATCCCTGAGTTCGCTGAGGAAATCGAGGCTCCCAGCCTGTGGTCACTGAGACGCCCACCTCCTGCGTCTGGATTTGCACCTTTGAAGTGGTGGTCAGAATAATGGCCCAGCTCCATTAAATGGCTGGTTAAACTCTCTCCCCCACCCCCTTGTGAACCACAGTCCTGGCAGTTGCCCCTTGCTGGGCCTGGGCTGGGCTGGCATTTTCAGCGGTGAGAAGAGGCTGTTCTGATTTTTCCTGGTAGGCCCCTTCTGGATCTGCCCTTGTTTCTCAAGTCCCTGAGGCCTCGACTGCTCCACAGAGCGTCAGGTGCCTGGAGAGTCTGAGGGGAGCAAAATGCTTCCTTCAGGCTCTGAGTCCTTCAGGAGCTCCCTTGGCCACCTCATCCTGCATGTTTCCCACAGGCAGTCTGAGGGCCTGCACACAGAGCCAGGGACAAGGGATTTGCCGTGCAGAGGGACGGGCCACACAGAGAGGTGGCTACCCAGACTGTGGGACCCAGGTGGCCCTGCTGCAGAGCACAGGCAGACGTTGGCCCGAGAACCCCAGCACCCGGCAGATCTCCCGGAGCTGTTCATGTTTCCGGAGCCTCAAGCTCAGGCGGGGGAATTCCCACGCCCGCCAGCCACCCACCTGCCAAGGCTGACTTGAGAAGCCTCTGGGATGGTGGTGTAAAGGGAGTGGGGGAGCCTGGGTGGCATTCGGAGCAGCTGGGCAGGGCCCCATGGGGCACCCTCAGGCTCCCCACCCACAGACACCTCCCCTACCCAGCCTTGCATGGAGGTCGCACCCAGTGACAGGCAGGACCGTGGAGCCCCAGGGTGTTCCCATCTTGCCCAGAGTCTCACAATACATGAGGGTCACTAGAGAACAGAACTCGGGCCCTGCCCCACGACCTTTCTGGTGACTTCCTGGACATCCACTTCCACAGGGGTGGCTCCCAGCAGCCTCCCTTCACCCAGGACAGTATTGCCCAGCATTTCATACTTTTAACACCGTCCCGCCTTCTAGCCCAATGTGAACAACTCAGACTCTCATTTACTTACTCTAAATAAATATATATTTTTGAATTGCATATGTAAAAGACATTAGACGTTATGAGTTAAACCACAACCAGACACAATTATAAAATCAGAAATGTCCTTTCATCTAGAGCCATCTCGAGCCAGCCGGGCTGCTTGGTTTTTAAGCCACATGCCACCTCCAGCCAGCCCCCAGCAAAAGTCCACCACCTTGCCCACTCCACTGTGTACCACGGTGGGGGGAGGGGCGCAGGGTTAAATGGTGGCAGGCCAGCCACGGGGACATACGGTGATGCGCAAACAGAATGGTCTCCACCCTGTTGGAGTCTCTGTCCTCATCCCATGGAACAGGTGAGGGAACTAAGAGCCAGCAAGGGGCATTGCTCACCCAGTGTACACAGAGAGCTAGTGGTGGGGGCAGAACATGAGCCCAGGCGCTGCCTCCCGGGCCAAGGCCTACACACGGTCACAAGCTCAAGAGTCAGTTTCCCATAAAGGTGCAGAGCTGCACGCTGCGAACTCAGCAGCTTCCTTCCATCCTGGCGCCCACCCCTGAGGACTCCCTGAGCCCACAGGAGACGAGAAGATGGGTGCCTCCTGCGAGGAGACAGCGGTCCCTGAAGTGGGCGGTCTCCAGGAACCTGTGCTACATTGAGCTGGGCGTCAGGAGCTGGGCCCAAGCCCCATGTTCCTGCCTTTCAGCGGTCAGCCCTCAACCCCAGACCCCCACGAGCACCGCAGTGCAAACCCACAAAGGATGGTGCTCGGTCCAGATGGGAGTCTGCCGGGTGGAGGTATAGCTTCAGCTGAGGTCTGGAAGGAGAATGGGGTCTTGGGGGACTCACAGGCTATTGGCTTTTCAGAACCATGATGTGGGTGAGGGGGAGGTGAGTCTGAAGATGGTACTAGGTAGTGAAGGGTAAGGAGGCAGTAGGAGTCACGGTGGGCTTTGGCGAGGCAATGCAATCCGATTTTTGCTGTGGGAAGGTCATTCCAATGGCAGAGCCTGTGAGGGACAATGGCCACCTTTCTCTGAGCCTCACTGTGCATTTATAAGGTGGGTTCCTGCAGGAATGAACGACCCCTCCAACTTGGAAGGGCTTTGGAAACTACCAGTGAGGTTGGCCTTTATTCTGATCATAGCAAGTGGTTCTGTGAAATGCAAGCATCAAGTCTCTGTCCCCCATCCCACAGTTCACTCTGTGACCTTGGAAAAGTCATCTCCCTCTCTGAGCCAGAGAGTCCCCATGAGTGAAATCAGATTGGCCTTTCCTCTTTCTCACAAGGGCTGGGGACCAGGATGAAGACTCGGTGAGGCCTCCCTTGAGTCTGTGCTTGCCTGGGGGTGTGCCTGGCTCTGTGAGGGTGTGAGGAGCTCCGGCCTTTGCAGGCTGTTTATGGCGTGCCACTGCGGAAATGCCCTGATTAGCTGCTCCACAGGCAGCGGGCAGCGCCAGTACTGGGAGCAACAGATCAGAGGGCAAGGAAAGAAGCTGTTAAAGGGCCAGGAGCCTCTCTTGTCACCCTCAGTACTTCAGCTGCACCTGTACGTGACCCTTTGGTGGCAGGAACCACTCTCCCACACAGTCCCCCACCCGTGTCCTCGGCTTTCAGCAAGTTTGAGATGTGGCATGAATAGGGGTTTGGAGTCTGGCAGACCTGGGCTTGAGTGCCACTTCTTTCACCCATCAAGTGGGCTGAGTGCCTAGACACACCCACAGCTCTGGGCCTCTGTGGCCTCATCTGTGAAGTGGGCATGGCTGTCACCCACCACAGAACTATATGTGAGCCCATGAGATGGTGGAGTGGAAACCCTGTACCATACAAAGCCAGAGGTCAGTAGGTGGTCCCAGAGTTCAGGACTGATTTGAAGAATGCTACGAGGGAGACCTTATCGCCACAGGACCTCCTCCCGCCCTGCCTCCGCAGAATTGGCAGGAACTGGATTACTTTCCATCCACACTGCCTACAGAGGTGGGCCTGCCCAGACACTGCCCTCTCCAGAAACAGAAGGAATGAGGGAGGAGGATGTGGAGTCTGTGTGAGCGTAGGCTTCCCAAATCCTAGAGCCCCTTTTCTCCTTTAGGGAGGCTGCCTCTCCTTCCCCACAGTCCTTGTGCCCACACTGAGCCTGAGGACACTTGCATAAGCCCTGTGTGTGCCAGCACTGTCCAGGGTGACTTTCCAACATGTCACTGACCCTCGCAGTGACCTGTGAGGCAGATATTAGCACCCTCACTTCACAGATGAGGAAACCCGGCTCTGGAAAGAGGAGAGGGTTGCCAGCATCCACCAGGGGCAGCAGCAGGGACCAGGTGCACCCATTGTCCCCAGCAGGAGCCCAGCAAGCTGCCCATTAGCAAGCCATCAGAGAGGGGGCAATGCACCTCTTCAGTCAGGCCCCAGGGGAGCACTCTTGAGGTTGGGGTGATCCCTGGAGCCCTCATGTCTCATCCTTCACATGGCTTCCTAGCAAAAGCTCTGAGCTGCAAGTTGACAGGCTTCAGTGTGGGGCCTTGATTTCACCTTCTGAAAACCTAGAGATGAGAGTAGAAGGAAGATCTTCACAGGTCTCTTCCCTTGACGCTACTCTTCAGCAAAACTTCTGTGAGAGAGTCCGGCTGGGCTAAAGGCCTCTCTTCACCACCCCATTGTCAGTCTGCAGCCAGGCTGTCCCTCTCTCCTCCCAGACCACCAGCTCCCCACACTCTGCCCCGGTAAACACACGTATCCATTCTCCAGTACCAGCCATGCCTACCAAGGAATGGCCTTCCTGGCAGACCCAGTCTGGTGAGCTCCCCTACACCGGGGAAGGCAAGCAGGGGCCAGTGCTCTGGGTCAGGGAGGTCAGGTGGGGTGGAAGGGGCCAGCTGGCAGAGCTCCAGGGCTTCTCCCCCAAACCTTCCAACCCCAGGTAGTGCCCTGGGCCTGACCCTGCTGGAGCAGCAAGGCCCTCATCCTCACTTGGAAGTGAAGTTAGAGAGCAGGCTTTCAGCGCATTTGCTCCAAGAATGTGCTGACGCTGCAACGACTTGGCAGACTTTCTGCTGTCTGCTTCCCCCGTGCGGTTGCATGTTCAGTCCCTCAGCCTTCCCAGCCTAGCCTACCAGGTCTCCAGATGAGAACCTGCAACCTCCCCAGGGATGCCGGAGCAAGGACCTTACCATGCTGGTGCCTCTGCCAGGCCAGTCCACCTGTCCCTCCCACTCCCTGTCCTCATCATTCTCCTCCCAGAGTGGAGAAGGAGTCCATCCTGGGATGAGAGCCCTTCAGGTCAGAGGACGTCTTGGAGATAAGAATCTAAGGGTGTGGCCTAGGTAGTGCTCTCTGTATGAAGTGCCCATGGAGACACAGCCTTCTGCAAAGCCACCCGTACCAGAGGTCGACAATGCTCACAGGTGTGTTCTTACTAATTTCCTGACCCTCGGCTGCTGGAACTGAAATAGAAAAGCATCTTGGACAAAAGTAATGTTAGAAATGGTAACTACAACACATATTGCTACTGAACTTCTGTGCACCTCCATTTTTTATCTTTAAAAAAGGATAGTAATAGTACATATCAGGCCAGCCAGGGGTGTAGTGGTTAGGACGACTGGATCTCACATGGTCGACTAAGTGGTTCAAGTCCCAGACCCAGTGGCTTGAAACACATGCTGGGTACACACACATGTATGCCCAAAATTTCTAAAGCAGAAATGTAGGAGAAGGGATTTGGGGCATGGCCACCCCCCAAGGGATGTACCTTCTCATTTTCCCTTTCTCTATCTGGCAAACACACCTTCCCTATAGCAAATTTTTAAAATAATAATAATATTACCTATCTTGTAGAATTAAAAGAGTTAAATAGGGCTGGCCAGGAGGCATAGTGGTTAAGGTGGCTGGATCCCACATGGCCAGGGGAACAGCTCGAGTCCTGAACCTAGCAGCTTGGAAAATATGCTGGGTGCGTGTGCTTGCATGCCCAAAATCCTGAGAGGAGAATGAAGGAGAAGGGACTGTGGTGTGGCTAACCCCTCTTGGGGGTGGCGGAGGAGAAGGGACTATGGTGTGGCTAAACACCCCGCCCCGCGAGGGTAGGGGAGGAGTGAGGAGTGAGAAAGCACTTTCTCACTCCCCCTCTCTTTTTCTTTCTCTGTATCTCTCTGGTGAACACATGCACTCTAAAACTTAAAAGGGGGGTGTTGGATAATAAAAAATATAATCTGTTCCTTCTCTCTGACTTCCACAGCAACTCTGCAAGATAGACATCCCCGTTTAAAATGAAAAATGTCCTCAGGAGGCAGGGGTGAGCCCAAGGTCACTGCATAAAGCAGCAAGGCTGGGGTCTCGAACTCAGCCCGTTCTCTGTCTGCCTCCCTGTGCTGGCATGGCTTGTGCTGAGGTACCTTAGCGCTCAGGAGACACTGAAAGGAGCCTGTAGGAGCCCCCACGGGGCTGAGATGGCAACTTCACATCACCCAGACTCTAAAAACCAAGCAGTGGCCTCATTCCTGGGAGTCACAGATGCCCAGGGTGGAGAGATGGAAAGTTCTCTCCCAGGAGGGAAGAAGAGAGCACAGAGCAAGGAGTGGTGGATCAGTCAGGCCCAGGGATGTGCAGTTTTCCCTGGAGGGATATGAGTGTGTGTGTGTACGTGTGTGTTATGTGTGTGTGAGAGAGAGGAAGACAAGGTGTGAGTGTATGCATGTGAGTGGGCATGGATGTGCATATAAATTACGTGTATATGTTTGAGTGCGGATGTGCATGAGGGTGTGAGCGTACATGTGCCTGTGTGTGCTCCTGCACACCTGGAGGTGAATGTGCCTCTAGGTGTGAGTTTGTGCATGAGACAGGGTTAGATCTCAGCGGTGGGTTCTGGAGTGTGAATGTGTCTGAGATTGTGCGTGTGCACATCACGTCAGTGGGAATGTTTGCAGAGAGCTTGAGACAGAGCAAGAACACGTTACCTAGGGCTCCAGGGGTGGGCTGCGGGGTTAATTCCATTTTCTGGTTGGCTGGGAGTTCATCAGCAGGGCCTCATGTTTCGAGCCCCGTCGAATGCTGTTTTCCTCGAATGTCTCTCCTGCTGCTTTTGAAGAGGGATGACAACAGCCTGAAGGGTGTACAACGAGGGTGACCAGAGTTAGGGGTGCGTGGATCCATGCTGGAGAAGGACTGACTGACACAAGGATGGTTGCTGCCCAGGTCTTTGCAGGCAGTCTTTCCAGGATCACAGAGCACAGATGAGTTCTGGGGGTCCCGTGGGCTGGACAGACAGGTAGACAAGGGCCAGTTCAGTGTGAAAAGCACTTCTGGGACATTGGAGTGGTCCAGGGATGTGGTGGCTGCTTTAGAAGCACTGAACTCCTGCCACCGAGGTGTGGGCACAGCCCTGAGTGCTAGCCTGGCAGGACACGGCCAGTGGTCTCTTCCAGCCCTGAGGTCTGGGCAGTTGATTCCTGGCCCCTACAACTGGATCAGGAGCTGAGTCAGGCTCCTACGACCCACCACGCCTCCAACAGCACCAGAACTTTTTTTTTTTTTTTGAGAGGTTTTTGCTATAGGGCACTTGCGCTCACCAGAGAGACAGAGACAGAGAGACAGAAAGTGAGAAATCACTTCCCTGGTGGGGATGGCGACGCCGCAATCCCTTCTCCTCCATTCTCCTCTTGGGATCTTGGGCATGCACGCACATGTGCCCGGAGTGAGTTTAAGCCACCGAGTTTAGGACTCGAACCACAATTCACTACATGGGAGTCCAGTGACATAGCCATTATGCCAACTGCTGGTCCCAAGTGCCAGGATTTCTTAGACCACCTTTCAGATAAGGACATGGGATACATAGAAAGGTGAACTGGCTTGCCTTAACCATGCCCTGTGGACTGGAACTCCAAATGCTAACATAATTCCCCGTTCACCTCTCCAGGCTGCACAGCTCAGAGTCTTATACACAGGAGCCCCTCAGTGGGTAGCCACCAACTGGCTAACTGCCCCTCAGGCACCTGCTGGAAGAGACAGGGGCGCCCTTTGGCTCCAAGGATGGAACTTGAGTCTGCAAGAGAGAAGTGATGGGGAGGGGACCGGGCACCAGGCAGGGGCACCGCCATGGCACACGTGCCCAGGGAGGCAAGGATGGGGCCCAAAGATCCAGGAGAAAGCAAACTCCTCTCAGATAGCTACCTGTGTGACCCTGGCCTGGCTACCTCGGTTGACCTCTCTGAGCTTTATTTTTATTAATGCTGTAATATTAGCAATTACCTCACAGGATTTGGGAAGACTGAATGACGCAGAGAGAGTGCTGAAAATGTACTAAATGGTGTGTGTGGACTTCACTCCGACCTGTGGAGGGAGAATAGGACATGAGACCAGCAGGGGACTCAAAGGATGCAGGATGTGGGGGGCAGCGAGGAGGCCAGGCTGGCCGGGGAAGAAGCACTGTGGGAAGGGGCGGCCCAGCCACCAAGACCCCGCCTGCCTTCCCTCCGGTAACTCTTCCTGGTACCCCTCCAAACTTGGAGTGGGGCAGGCCTTCACCTGCCACCGGGGAGCAGACAGGCCCACAGGCACAACCCCGGATCTCTGCACATGCATTTCTGTGCTCCGTGACCTTGGACAGGCCCCTGCCCGCTCTGAGCTTTGTCTGTAAGGCGAATGGTAGGCCTTGGTGGCATGTCGGCAACACCTTCCCTTCTCCCAGGGCACAGCACCCTGCTGTGGAAAGGATGGAGGATGTGGGTACAGGTGGGAGGCCTGTGCTTGGGCAGGATGTTAACTGGTAATGAAATGCCACAAGGGGGACCAGCAGGTGGCATAGCGGTTCTGTCACTGGACTCTCACATGGCCAACCACAGTTCAAGTCTCAGACCCAGTGGCTTGAAACAGGCTGGGCACGTGTGCATACATGCCCAAGATCCCTGGAGGAGAATGGAAAAGAAGGGATCGTGGTGTGACCATCCCTCCAGGGGGTGATTTCTCACTTTCCCTCTCACTGTCTCTGTCTCTCTCTCTGGCGAGAGCACACACCCTAAGGCTAAAAACCTCTAAAAAATAAAATGCCACAAGGCCGCTCATTCGCTCGTGTGGCATTTACTTGAGTACATTTTGTGTGCTGGGGCTGGAGATATGCTAGTGAACGGAGCACTTCCTGCCCACACGGAAGGTCTGACCTTTGCTGGGCGGTAAACGATAGACCTGAACCGTGAGGAACTGTGGCACCATGTCAGAAGGCGCTGAGTGCTACTGAGAACAGTGTGGCAGGGTAAGTGGAGGTGCATGCACCTGCAGAGGGGTGCACCATTTGGAGTCAGGGGTCTGAGTGGACTTCATTAATAAGCAAGTAAGGGCAAGGGGCAGACTGGTCTTCCGTGGCTTACTGTGGAAAGTGTCAGGCCTGGATGTCCCCTCCTGTGAGAACTTACCCCGGGGTCTGCCCCTGCAGGGCAGCAGCTACCTCCGATTCCACCTCTGCTTTTCCAGAACCCAGCACGGCTCAGCCGGCAGAGGTACTCGGAACCCTCCAACTAACAGATTGATCCACTCCACTCAGTAGCAGTGGCTTGAACCTGGGATGGGGGCCTCGGTGCCCCTGTTCTCCAGGGAGTTTCTTCCTGCCACCACTCACCCTCAGAATATCAGCCCTTCTAGCCCCAGATCCTGCACAGACATACCAAGGGGCGAGGGGCGACAGACCCTGCTGTGTTCATCGCTGAGTGCTGCGTCCACACCAAGCCCAGAATTCCATCTGCCGCCAAATTCCAGGGCTGGAAATAATGAGGCAAATTGTCCCTCACCGCTGATTAACTTTCAAGTTGCTCCGCTAAACTGGGTGCAGTTGAAGTTTTAGCAAGTCTCCCGGGAACCCCAGGCGGCTTCAGTTTCAGCCTTGTAAAGAACTGTTAAGATCCAATCAAAATAAATAAAATCAGATCCAGGAAAGCGATGTGTTTGTGAGCGCAGCCCAAACACTCGGGATATTCATACAGAAGCCCAGCACCCCGCTTTTCGCAGGGATTTCTTCCACTAGACTGGCATGGGCCCATGATCTCACCAGCATCTCCTCTCAAAGGCCTGGCGGCAGCGTGAGCCTTCCACCCCTGCAGCGAGTGGAGGAGAAAGTTCGAGTTGAGTCTGGGGAGAGTCTTAACCCTATGGCTGCCTCCTGCAAGCCTGCAGGGCATCTGCTGGCCTGCCATGCGCTTAGCCCTGCCGCAGCATCAAGGACAGAAAACACGGGCCCTCGAAACACATGGCCTAACCACGGAATCCGAAACTCCCAGTCGGGAGGTGCCAAAGCCACAGAATGTGAGTGATGGGCTCGGGAGCGTGAGCACCGTGAGGCATCGCCACCACAGTGGGCAGCCAGAGGCTGCTAATCCCGGCTCTGAATGGCCAACCTCCATAGCCCAAGGGGTCCTCCAAACCACTCCCCTTCCATCTTCTGTGGGACTCTGACCCCTAGGAGAAACAGGCAAAGGCCATGCCAAGGCCGAAGAGAGGTGTACGCTGCCCGTTCTCCCTGCAGAGGGGCCAACTACCCCTCCCATTTCCACATGTGCCCCCCCCCACCTGCTCCTGGCCCTATTGACTGATGCTTCATCTGGAAGTCCTCCTAGAACCCTGGGAGAAAAAACAACATTATTTAAGAGGAAAACCCTGTGCCACACCCAGAACCACCTCCCCACTCCTAAGGGAGTAGGGAACCAGGAGGGAAATGCCAAGCCGGCCTGTCTGCAGCTAGACTTCTGTGCCCTGAGAGTGCTGGTTGGTGCTGGGAGAGCACTGAGAATGGTCCCCTCCTGTTAGATGGGAACACGGGTCTGGGAGGTGACGGGAGACTTGGGGCCCTCAGGGGACTGGTCAGGGGTGGGACAGGCAACTCGGTCTGCAGCCTCAGCTCCCACTCCACCGCCACCCTCCCTCAGCCAGTTAGCACCCTGTTGCTGATGGCCAGGCTACACCCAGCATCCACGCCAGGGTGTCCACTGGGACTATCTCCGCCCTGCATCCTTGGGGGTGGAGGGGGGGGCAGCGCTGGCCTTCCCTAGCAGAGCGAGTGCCTTGGCGCCCCCCGTGTGGCCGCTGAAAGGCCCCCTTGTGCGGGCCGAGCTCCCCGCCGCAGCGCATGGCCCTGTTCTCTTACCTCATAAACGGCTAATTTGTTACATATTTTCTGACGCTGTAAATGGGAGAACAAAGACCTTTTCTCTCTCATATTTTCGTTCAATTATGTTTGTGGGGGAACCTGATCTCCTTCAAAGGGGGGCCGAGGAGCTGGGGTGGGAGCCTCCCAGGCTTGCTGACCTCCCAGGCCTGCTGCTGGGCCCACGGCTGCAGGCTGTGGGCTGTGGGCTGGCTGGCCATGGCCAGAGTCCGGCCAGGAGGAGGACGGCGAGGACTCCTGCCGTGTCCTGCGTAGGACCAGTGATGTGCCTGGCCCTCATTTCCAGAGGAGCAGAAACTGGCCGCAGGGCAGGGCGGGTTCCTTCAGCAGATCGCAGGGCCATGGAAGGAAGGGCCTCTGCTCGGCCTTCTCAACCACGTCCTACATTAGCCTGGGCCCTCAAACCAGATTAGAGCGCCCTGTTACTACACTGACACCCCCCGTCCAGAACTGAGGTGTGTCCCCAAGGTGATGTGGCAGGATCCAGGAGCTGGGGAAAGGGAATACTTTGACAAGAAACCCCACTGCCCAGAACTCCCAGACTGCTCCATTTCTGAAGCCCCTCTAATCCCAAGGTTCCGAACCCTGTTTAGCGTTTCCCGGGTTCTGCCTCCACATCTGGGCTCCTTCTGAAAAAGCACGCTTATGACTTTGAACACTGCTCCGGGAGCCCTAGGGTGGAAATAACACAGCCCCGGGGGGCGGCTCTGCAGCACTGGCCGCCCAAGGATCTCGCCAGCCTCGCCTTGCTGCCTCTCCTCCCTTCTTCCCATTTCTTCCATTCCTTCCTTTCTTCTCTTTAACCGGATGCTGCCAATGGCAGATCCTGGAGTAGGTACTGAGGATTTGAGGGTGAGTAAGGTGGCCATGGTCCTTGCCCTCGTCACGTCTCAGAGAAGCTGGTAGGAGACTGTTCAGCGCACAGCTGACCTTGCCAGACTCTTCATTCACCACTTCCTTGCTGTGTGACCTCAGGCAAGTCGCTTAACTAGCTATGCCTCTTCTGCCCCATTTGCAAAATGGTGATAAAAGTAGGGACTACCACACAGGGTTGTTGGGGCTTCCCGTGAAATACAGAAGGTCTTGACTTCCAGGCTTTTGAGTTTACAATGGGTAAAGTGGAATATAAGCCTGTGGAAAGGCGAGCGGTATCTGCGCTACTTGTAATAAAGTTTGTACGGTGTTTGGCTTAGAAGGAACGACCCATTGGTGGTAGAGGGTATCGCCATTAGGATAAGCAAGCATTAAACAGATGACAGCTACATAAATATGTGAAGACAAACTGTTATAGATACTATGAAGAAAGAGTACAGGGCAGAGGGGGGCTTTGAACAGGGGCTTTGAACTGATCTGGGGGATCGAGGAAGGAGTTTTCAGTAGGTGATATTTGAGCCACTCTGAAATATGAGTGGATGGGCCAGCCCCATAGCCTGGTGGTTAAGGGACCCAGACCCCGTGGGACCAGCAGATGGCATAGTGGTTACATCGCTGGACTCCCACGTAGTTGACCACAGTTTGAGTCCCAGACCCTGCGTCTTAAAACTCACGCCAGGTACGTGTGCGTGTGTTCCCAAAATCCCAAGAGGAGAAGGAATTGCAGCGTGGCCATCCTCCCAGGGGGTTCTGCCTCCCTCTCCTTCTCTTTCCGTGTGTCCCTGGTGAGTGCAAACACCCACTGGAAATGTTTGAAAGAGTGAAATATGACTAGAAGTAAAAGGCACAAGGGAGGGATGACGAGAAGGGCATACGTGGCAGAATGACCAGTGGATGCAAAGGCCCTGAGGTGGGACACAGCGCATTGAAAAATACCGCTCAGGCAGCACATGAAGGGAGTGTAAACACAGAGCAAGGAGGGCGGAGTAAGATGAGTGTGGGGCAGGAAGGGCCCTGCCAAGAACGCTGAGAAGCCGTGCTGAAGTTCCTCGTCATTCCTAGAGTAGAGGGACGCTATGGCTAATTTCAGCCTGGGAGTCCGTGGTCTCATTCATGATTTTCAAAGATCACACCCACACACAGCACCCCCTTTCCCTGTTAGGCCCGGAACAAGTGGGCTTACATCCCATCAGGGGTGCTCAGGATACAAGGTGCTGCCTGGCCCCTGGGCCTCAGGGCCTCAGGTCATGGTGGGCAGTGCCCTCCTATAGCAAGGAGCGACAGAAGGAAACAGGAGAGCATGGAGGAGGGGGTGAAGACACAACATGGCAGCGGCCAGGTCTCTGAGGGCCTGGTGGGCTGTCTAAGACAGGCCCACACAGAGTGATGCATGGGCCCTTGGCCTCGAGAAGTGGAGAACTGAGTCTTCCTCAGCTGAGTCACCCCAGAACTCCTGAGCAGCCCCTGGCCGAGAACACACGCGTTCATGACACGCATGAATGTAGGTCTGTGGGCGGGCCTCTTAGTGGCTGGGCTAGCTCACGGCCGGTCCACACTCCTGTTCAGAATCAATCTCCTGTCTACCTGTCTTCATCATGATCTCTCTCTTACACACACACCTGCACACACACATTCTCACACACCTCTAAGTCATTCAGGGCCCCAGATTCCCCAAGGCCAACAGAAGCTCTGGCCAGCGGCTGTGCTTTCTAGTTGCAGGAGCTCACAAATGGGAGGACAAACGAGACTGGCGATGAAGGTGCTTTCCCAGGAGCCCCGGGTTGTGGGGCTGCAGACACGTGGGGACCTCCAAGGGCCCCAGCCCCCCAATCTATCAGGCCGTGGAATGCCAGTGTGGGTCTGAGGCCCTACGAGAAGATTCAGGCAGGGGCTCAGAGGCTGGCACAGGCCTCCCTCTACCCATGATCCTGTGAGCAGATGGGCCCCTTTAACCAGCTTGCAGGGGGCTCCTTCCCTGTTGCCATCCCTCGCACTCAGCCGTTCCTCCAGATCTGACCTGCACACGAGGGGGCCTGGAGAGCACTGAGTATTTCCCATCTGCAGTGTAAGCAGATATTTGCTCGTCCAGAGTGTTGGGCCTTCTCTGTGTTCTTTTCCCAAGGCCCAAGGCTCAGATTTCAGCTTCACATTCTTTTGCCTTGGGTCTAAAAACATTTTCTCCTTCTGTGGTGGGGGAAGGAGGGGAGAAGAGGGCATAGGAGACCCGAACTGCCCAAGTGCCTCATTCCACCTTAGTGTGTAACCTGGCTTGCTGTGTGACCTTGGGCACCTTCCTGCCCTCTCTGGGGCTCAATGTCCTCTCTTCACAGTGAGGAGCCCCCTCACTTGACAGTCTCTTCATAGTGCCAAAGCCTCCAACTCCTATTCTGTTGCCAAGACGGGTATTTTGTGACTTTGAACAGACGAGAAGCAGGAGAGGCTGGAGGGGCATGTCCCTGTACTAGACTGTCGACCCCACAGGCCACCTGCCGGTCCCACACAGTCTTCTTCCCTCCTGCCATCCTGGGTCTGCTCCTCCTTTGTCCACCTGCTCCCACAAGTGGGGCTCAAGGCTTCCAGAAGTGGAAGAAGAGTGAGTGAGGGCTCAGCCTCACTCAGGAAGGGAGATGGTGAGACGAGGGGCAATGGGAGAGTCTCAGAGCCCTGGTTCGGAGTGCTCTAGAAGGTCCAAGTCCCTCACTTCCTCCATGTACAAAGTCCCCAGGGCCACCTCAGCGATCCTGGCCAGTGGCTAAGACTATCTCCTGCCTCCAGCCTGTGCCCCTCTGATCTTTCTCCAGAGCACAGCTTCTGGAACAGAAGCCTGGCCAGTCACTCCCCGCTTCAGAACTTTAGGGGCTTCTCACTGTCCAGCAGATTATCAGAAGCCCAGAGCCTGTCTCCGTTCCCTGCCCATTTCTACCCCCTTCCCTCCTCCCCAGCCATGTAATCCCTGTGTGTCCTGGAACTTGCCATTGTCACCCTGCCACCATTCCTTACATGCACTGGTGATACCGCTGGCGTCTTCTCTTCTGCAGGGTACACATGGCTCTCACAGAGTCTCGCTGAGTCCCCTCCTTTGGGAACCCTGTTTGAGGCCCCCTCCTTCTGCTGAGCTCCCATAGTCTCCTGTCCACCCCACGGCCCCAGCTTTCTTGAATGTTGCTTGATGATGTTACAAGTCCTCCTGGGATACCTCCTCCCTTATGCCACCCGGTCTGTGAGCTCCTCGGGGACTGAAATGGTTCTGCCCCGTTCCATGGCCCCAGCACCCAGCATAGGGCCTGGCACTAAATCTATGTGTATATTGAAGAGCGAGCGGGAATCCAGTCCACACACAGTGGACTCCGATCTTCCTCAGAATACCCCTTGCAGCAGAGCCTCCAAGACCATCCCTGAGCTTAGGCAATAGAAGTTTTTTAAAGTGTGTGCATGCACATGCACACACATGTGCCCTAAGAAGGACAATGTTCGGCAAAGGTTTTAGAGCAACTCTCAAGCAGGCAGAACAAGTATTAAATGTATTCTCCCCACTTGGAAGATGGGCAAACTGAGGTCCAGAGAAAAGCGTCCCACGTTTTTTGTTTGTTTGTTTGTTCGTTTTATTTCTTCTATGAGAGACAGAGCCCTCAACAGGGTCCTGATGCCACAATCCCCCCGCCATCCTCGGCCAGCCCCAGATCATGGACACACGCATGCTTGGCATACTCAGGGAGATCTCTGGATGCCAACCTACACATGGCTCTCACAGAGTCTCGCTGAGTCCCCTCCTTTGGGAACCCTGTTTGAGGCCCCCTCCTTCTGCTGAGCTCCCATAGTCTCCTGTCCACCCCACGGCCCCAGCTTTCTTGAATGTTGCTTGATGATGTTACAAGTCCTCCTGGGATACCTCCTCCCTTATGCCACCCGGTCTGTGAGCTCCTCGGGGACTGAAATGGTTCTGCCCCGTTCCATGGCCCCAGCACCCAGCATAGGGCCTGGCACTAAATCTATGTGTATATTGAAGAGCGAGCGGGAATCCAGTCCACACACAGTGGACTCCGA